CCGGGTGCCATTGCGTGCGGCGGCAAGACATTCGCCCGGCCGCAGCGAGTGCGCGCGGCGGCCTAAGCCGACTACGCGCCCGGCGGGCGACGGCGACGGGGCGAGGGCGAGGACGAGGACGAGTTCGAGGGCGACCTCTTGGGCGAGAGGGGGCGGGGACAAACACGCGAAATCGATTTGGACCCTCCGTTAACTCTTCTGGGAACCTCGAGAGCCACGGACGCATGCTGAATTTCAATTATTGATCGCCTCCCCCCCCCCATCTCCACTTTCGGTGCGAGCTGACAGAACCTTATTAACTTCCATCATGGAGTCGGGGAGTCAGGGTCGGTCGATGCGTGCTATTCGGCGTTATTAGCTTCACGCACTCGCTGTAATTAATATAGTTCATAAAATAATATTAGATTTCCTGTAATGAATTTCCAAATGAAACATGAACATGAAAGCTTCACAGTTCTATATTTCACGCCTCAAAAATTAATCACAACTTTAAGCCTGCTGATGGACAAATTTTCTTCCACATCTATACCTCTCTTAGTGACTCCAAGATTAATACTTAATCATACAAATTTTAATTCTCAAAATATTTTAAATTTTTCCAAAAGGAAAATAATGCACTCATTTCAAAAATATTTGTAACAAATAATTCAATGTTTATATTTAACATTTCCTCTTTTTCTTCGAGAACATATTTGAGATTTTAGTGTTTGATTCGCCGCAAATTTACTTTTAAATCACTTTTCATGCCTTCAAAAGACTTTCCAATAATATAAATTCTACTTTTACAGTAGGTAAAGAAAGATGACAGGGTCAATTTTGTTCAAGATAATTTGTTGATTTAAAACGACTTTTTAATTCTTGATGTGAAGTTGCCTGAAAGAAAAAGCGTTACTTCTCAGTTCACTTATTTTATTTTAATATGTTACGAATTTATCATAACGGTGAACAAAACTTAGACTTGGTGAAGATATTAAATATGTCAAGGTAGCTTACAGGCGTTGAAGTGTATATCCGTTCTTCGTGATGGTCAGTTTACACCGGCAATTAGTGCTCTTTACAGCAATACTATTGACTCACTTCGCTACTGACTTCGAGACAAACGTGCTCAACAAGAAACCCTACTTTCGCTCTTCTGTATATCCTATTTGCATAATAGTAGAAAATTCTAATTTTATAATATAAATTCGTGTATGTTATGAAATTAATTTTTTCAACATTTTTGTTGCTTCGGCTGAATGTAGTACAGAGGAAAGTTAATGCATTCGGTCCGAAAAATCGAGATCGGAATTTTGGTGATAGAGTCCGTTTCGAGGGACCTTGAGACGAAAAACGTGTTTTTGGCATTGTGTCTGTCTCTGTGGATGGATGTGTGTGTGTGTGTGTGTGTCGTGTAACCCAGGTAAATCAGAAGCTTTTGAGCTCTAACTTATAACTACTTGTGAGTAAAGTCGGTTAGTGCCGATTGAAATATATTTTAAGATTGATGCAATTGGCGAGAAAATAGATGCAGTTTCGAACCAAAAAACATATACAAATGTTAATTTATAAATTGACCCATTAGCCTAAAATACATTATGTGGAACAATAAAATAAGGCCTGTTCCCCTACTCCCAATCCCTCCCATACACATTCTCTAGCCCATAAGACTTACATAGAAAGAATTTATGGGGAAATTATTACTGGGTTTTAAGTTAAACTTCTTAAAGGCTGTAACACTTTTACGTCTTACGTAACCTCAGGTAGAGGTGACAACGGAATCGGCCGTTAGATCAGTCCCATTGTCTCCGCTTCGCACCTCATCAATCACCTAGTCAATACAATTTACTTAGGTGCAATAGTTGGAATTTAGATCCTTCACTTTTAATGAAGAGAGTCAGAATCTGTACAGTTCTTCGAGGTTGCTAAAACTGTGATAGAGGGGGCATTTGATGAAAGGTGGAATGCCATTGGACGAAGAGTGCTTCCGTTCAAGAATGCCCTATTATATTACTGACAAAAGTTAATTCTTTGATAAAAATCAGTACCTTGTTGTCTCATTTCCTCCAAATCGTTACTGCAGCCACATACTGAATTTCACCAGGCTAAAAGAAAGTGATGATGTGCCATTCATCCCCTCCTTTTCCTACTGTTATTACTGATGATAGCTGGGGCGGAGCCCTGCTGATGGGAGAGAGCTGGTTGGGAAAACCCCGCTAGCCGTCGGTAGATCAGCGCAGTATCTCGTCATCAAGCGAGGAATGATCACCGCCACCTTCCGAGAGAAAAACATTCACTACATTTACGGGACTAATTACCTCTCTAGTTGACGCGCTTGGAATAACTAAACAATCAATCCATCAAAATGAAGGAACGAAGTACTGTATTCATTTTTTGTAGGTCATATTTAAATAGGTGCAAATAAATAAACTTATTGAAAAACTCATTCTGATGTAAATATCAATTATTTAACATGACGAGGCAGAATTTACTAATATTTACTAAACTGGACATTTTTTAACAATGAAAATAATTTCCATTGTAGGAAATCATCTTTATAACTGAACAAATTTAGTCTTCCAATTGTCAACACGTGTTTGAAAAATTCTGAACACGTTTTGTAACATTTCTGTGAGTAAAAAATGTCTGAAAAAGGGGAATAAAACTGACTTTAGGTAAATCATTTTCTTTGCCTTTACTGGAGAAGATACGATACAGACGAAATGCAATCAATTATCTTTCAGTAAAAGTCCAATGAAATCACATGTATAGTATAGTCTGTCTTTTATTACTCAAGTGCTCATGATAATTCATTGTTTATTTGATATCTCTCTCTATGTGAAAACTACACTTCTAATTTTGGAGCTAATCCTGAAATTTTCATTTGTGCTCTGTATACTTTTTTAAACATGATATCCTCTCTGTTATGAAACTACAGAAATGGGTGAATAATGATGCACGTTTAACAGTGGAAACAATGTTTATACTCCACGCCCGCCCAGCGAATTTTAATGATTTCAACAGTTCCATCTCGAGCGTTCCATAATTCATTCGCGAACTGTCATCGTCGCGTCACGCCCGGATTAAAAATTACTCTGTCAAGTGTTAAGTGATGTTTTGTATCTCCGTAGAGGGCGATAAAGTCGTTTTTGGATTATTAACAGAGGATCGCGGCCCCGGCCGCCGAGGCTCATCAATTAATCTTCTCTTTAATTCGGAACTGAACATGACGTCCGCCTCTTGGGGCAGCCCTGCCGGCCGCAGAGCGCGTGCCCGCCCCGGCCCAGCCCAGCCGAGGCGAGTCGCGGCTTTTCGCCCTTGCGCGTTGTTTGCGTGTAGGGCAAGCAAACAACGAACGAAGGCACGTCATGTCTGCCCTTTCATGTGTCTGTTTACCTCACTCTTCTCTCTCCCTCTCCGCTTCCGTCCACACGCGACGCCCTCCCGGGGTCGCCAGCGGCCAGATTTGAATAACACTTTATACACGCGTGTGGAAATTAAAATGGTCACCCAGTGTGTTCATGTTATCGAAAACGAATTACAAAAACTGTGTTTAAAAACTTTTTTTTATACTGAATTGGTGATTTTTTTTCGTAATGAATGGATACGCGCTGTGTTCTGTATGGTGAAATGCACGTGTTTGGTCAGCAATCGCTTTCTCCCTGCCATTATGGTCTTCCCTCTCGGTAAAATAATGTTTCTGTGCAAAAACTAATCAAACGTTTAGATTAATGATCTTCCTTTAAAATATATTTTTACGACACCCTTGTAATTTGAGTTTCAAATAGTTCTTTATTCGCTGATATTTAGCTTGTAGATGGTCTAAGTCAAGACTGCTCAAGTGCCTTGGGAATACGGTAATATCCCCCCCCCACGATAATATTTTCCCACTACGTCACATACAGTTTTACTGCTTTTTTGACTGAATAAATCTAAATCTAAAGCAGTAGGAGTGTGAATTCAGAGCGCCCTGGTCTTCCAGCTAGTTAAGAATGAACTGTGGCCTTGGTGAGACCTTATAAGTAAACAATATTCATGAACCATTATTTCAGAAAATGATGCCATCCATGCCCCTCTCAACGGAAGTGCAGGCAACTTTCATATTGTTTCAACCTGCTTTTGTACGTACACATTTCTGTCAATGGATGAATAAATTCAAAAGCACCTGAAGAAACATGTAAATCTGGCGTACGAAACCTTCAAATAAATTTAAAATATGATTATGGAATGACGTGTTGTGGATTGTTTGTTTATAATCGATACCGTATAATACCGTATAAGGATACCGTATAATATGATGTATTAAAGACCTTCTCTGATTATTGACATAACATAACAGAATTCGAATAAAAAACTTTTACATTATTTGAGTTTTTAAAAGGTCTTACGCGGCAATGTTTAGTTTCTAGACGATATAAGTCAGTACTGCCCAATTAAGTTTAGAATGTAGCAAGGAGTGTGAATTCAGAGCTCCTTTATTTTGCTATAAATTAGTCCTTCAATCCATATTATTTATTTCAATTATGCCTTATTTCTCATGGAGAGACTCGGACTAGAGGGCCTACTCTTCCGCCTGACAACACAAATTCCGCTAAGTTCCTTTCACCGTCTGGCAGTGAAAGGATCCATCACTCGGGTAATCAAACAGGTGGATTGAATTTTGCTCAGGGGTTTCTTTTAGGCTTGATCTTTTTTCATATAGGATCTTTACATGGGGATCTACAACATGGGACAGCCGGCTTTACTTTCCCTCAGAAGGAAGGCGAACGAACTATGTTTTCGCCCTCAAAATCCTTGACTTCTGTCGGGTTTCAACCCGTGAACTTCCGTATCAGAGTCCTATACGCTCATCTTTACACCGTCGAAGCATGAGTTAATGCCCTTCGTGGCCCCTTCAAGAACAATTCAAAACTGTTTTTTTACCGACTTGCAACATTTTTTATTAAAGATGTTTGCTAACATTTTTTTGTCAAGTGCAATGTGGAGTATTGTTGCTTGAGAGAAGGAGCGTGGTCCGTGCGCAGGTACACGTACGGCAGCATGTTCGCGCGCGTGTGGGGCGCGGCGGCGTTCCGGGGCGCGTCGGGCCGCGCGGCGCCGGCGCCGCACCTGGCGGAGCGGCTGGGCAACGTGGGCGCGTGGCGGCGCCGCCAGCTGGGGCCCCCGGGCGAACCCCGGCCCGCGCCCCGCGCGCTCGTGCTCACTGGTCTGGGCGCGCTACGCACTTTTGAGGTAGGTTCGCGCCAGCTACTCCTCCGCGGGTCGGAAGCTGTCCCTCGCTCGCTCTCTCTCTCGTCACCCATTCACTCATCCACAACATCATCCACTATTATCCACCTACATCTCACTATTTCAGGAAGCCCACTCGCACAAATTCCCAACACGGTTAGCGCATGTCATAGCTCAAGTCGGCGATTAACCAAACTCAAATCAACAATCGCTTTCATCAACCACACTCATCACTTTCAAATTAGATCAATTCCATCACCCAATCTATCATCAAATTATCACTCATTTCATCACCCACTTATTCATCACCCACGCACCACAACCCTCTCATTATCGTCCCATTCATCACCCACTTGTCGGCAACCAGTCATTCATCCCCAGTCGTTTCATCAATCCACTCATCCACTCACGCACTCATTCACCAACCCACTCATTCATCAACAACCTACCCATTCATACAACTCACTCTTCATCAACCCATCGTTCATCAACCCACTCATTACAAGCTATTCATTCATAAGCTACTCACCCACAAACTCACTTAACCATTTAGCAACATAATTACTCGCCTTAATAATCAACTTATTCACCTGTACACTCAAGCTCTCGTCACAACTAAGTGCCAATTCAATTAGTCCCACTCATGTATCATCCATTCATTCGTGCACCCACTCTCGCATACACTCATACACTCACCAACCCACATTCCACTCATCACGCCCCAAAATCATTGACTCCCCGTTCACCGCTCACTTTGCTAACCTTCACCACTAATTCAATCACATATCACTTGCTGCGCGCCCACTCAAACACTCTCTCAACTCATTCACGATGTGTGCAATAATTCACTTATCTATCTTCTCACTTACCCTGCACATGTACCATGCACACATTCATTCACCAGTAACTCGACTACCCAATCTGCGCACTACTCATATTTATTCCTCATCCACCAATGCATCAATTTTTACCAGCTGCGTAGTTTGATTGAATTATTGAAATTCTAGACTCCGTGTTACATGACATGTCCTTTAAAATGGCAATATGCTTATTGAGTTTATCCGTTTACTCATTTTTGTCATTTAACTTTTAATGTCATTAGTTTCATTTTTTTCAAAACCAAATATCTTCGTTATGAAACAACAATAATGAATTACGTACTAGAACTGAAAGTTAGTCTTTGGTGTAGAAATAAATGTGAACGACGTGCCACGATAGGATTCGAGTCCGACATTTTGAATACTTACTCCTCAGTCACAATTCGAAAGAGTTGCATACATCATTTTTTGTACGAATTCATGGCAACTTACAAGTTTGTTCTATTAGGGTATTCTCAATATGCGAGCTGGCAACCATAGTGATTCATGTCACTCAGTATTTTGTTTACTTTACGGTACCCAGTTGTTTATTCGGCCATGACTTTGGCTTACACGTTCCGCAAACAAACACTTTCCAAACAATAAGCAGTGAAGTTAAGAATAATTTCCTCAAAATTTGCATTTCGTCGAAGCCTGTGTAATATGGAAACAAAACCTAAATGGGAATAAATAATTGGGGCACATTGTATCTGTGATGTGCAGAGACAGCAGATAATAATTCAATCAATTTTTCCATTATATTTTACAAAGGTTAAATAAACCTATTTTTAAAGCCACAGAATGACATTGTAGGTAAATATTTTCTTTGCCTCTTGACCAGCTCTTCCCAATTCAGTTCTACTTTGTACTTTTCATTAACAACAGTACTTTTTGTAAATGTTTGAACAGAATTCTTGAAAGTTATTCTGCTTTAAAAAATATATTCAATATACACTCATCTCGTGTGCACTTAACTAATATCTCTATTAAAACTTCTAAACACATAATTGAAATATTTTGAAGTGTATTTCATATTTGCAGAAAATACACAATGAGCATTTTGGTTATCTGTCCGTATTATACATCAGTCATTGTCGCATTTCTAGTTACATTGTTTTTCGTATTATAATTCGATGATCCAATCACGATTAATTATGCCTAGTGTTTCTTATTAGACGGTGTATGGTATCGTTCAATAAATATTTCTTTCGCGCCTAAATTTGCCATTTGAGTATTTGACGTAGAACTTATAACCTACGTCATATGTACAAATAGTACAAAATTGCATCATCAATTTTGCAAGGTGTCTCTTAAAAATAGTTTCAGTGATGATATTCAGAAAACTTTAAATATGTACGTATATGTATCATATGAAATTCTATGGAGTGCAAAAGAAGAGTGTTACGTCTTTTTTGGTGAAGATGCAGTTTTGTTGCTTAGGGGATGTCAGAATGTACAATTTACATCACAAATCTGAAATTTATATTATTGTTTCCTGTATTTTTAAAATGTCTGCTTTCAATTAATTACACGAATTTTTACTTCCACTTTTCTTAAAAATCCTCTAGTCCTAAAAGTTTTCTGTAGTTTCATCGGCAAATACATACCGAATGCTGGCCCAGTACCCTAACGAACGGGCTTCAGACCGCACGCGACCTTTCCTTCCCCTTGCTTGTCGTATCTTCAACCCTTACACACACGTACATATGCATGCACTACACTACCACACATGTCAGAAGACAGGTCGGGAGCTTAGAGCTTGCCCCTGCTGAGGTGGGAGATACCTGGCTAGGGAAAACAGCAAGCCCATCGGCGCTGGTTCCGCGAACCATCGAGGGAATAACTCTGCCACCTCCCGCGATAAAAGCAAGCACTACATCTCTGACTTTAGTAGCATACGCGCATGAAATCACGAATCAATCCATGCGAAGTGAAGTTCCATCTCAGAGAACTTTTTACATAGAGGCACGTCAAGGTCAGAATCTGGAAGGACAGGGAGACGTCATCCAATTGGGAGCTCCAATACTAAAGCATCAAGTCGTAACGAATCTTCAGACTGGATGATAACGACAATGCCCCCCTCTCCTTGCACCTCGTATCGTATTGTTTTGTAAGCGGTGTACCAATCGAGGTATAAAAAATCGCGGCGGTTGTGCGCGCAGGTGCTGTGCGAGCTGCTGCCGGTGGCGGTGCCGTCGCTGGTGCTGTCGCTGCTGGCGGCGCGCGAGGAGGAGCCGCTGCTGGCGGCGCCGTGGCTCGTGCCCGAGGCGCACGCCCCCGCGCTGCTGGAGCGCTGGCGCCGCCGCCTGCGCTGCCCGCCCGGCCCGCGCGCCTGGCCCGCGCTCCAACAGAGCGCCAGCCATTGGGAGCTCGGCAACTGCAGCTTCCTCGGTACACACGCACGCGCATCGACCAGCGTGACGAAGCAAAGGGCACTACATGACCGTTTTTGCCCAAACGGGATACGTTGACACACTTCTTCCAGTTGCATTACTCATATGGCATTTGGCGGCGACCACGGTGTAACGATTAGCGTATCGAACTGTTATACCCAAGTTCGCGGGTTCAAACCCGGGTGGATTTTTCAGGGCAAAAATATCCATCGTACGCCTTCCTTCAGTAGGGAAGTAAAGCCGGCGGTCCCATGTTAGTAGATTTAATTCATGTAAAAGATCCTCAAGCCTAAATGAAGCCTCTGAACTAAATTCAAATCGTCTGTTTCGTCGCCAGAGAAATACCTCCTTTCTACGTTAGTGGGTAAAAGGAGCGTACCGAAATTTTGCGTGGTCAGACGCAAGAGCGGACCTGATAGCCTGAGTTTCGCCACAGAAAATAGGCATCAATTCAATTCAATTCATATTACAAGTCATATTCATAATACACCTCCCAATATTCATTAGTAAAGAAGTTAGAAGCACAGGATTCTTGAGCAAGCTTGAGTAAGTAGATAGATCCTAACCCAGACAGACCGCACACAGACTTACCTCAACTAACAGGACAGGGGAAAGGACTTTTGAACGTCTAGGATATAAAGATGATGTCATAGGTAGTGGAAATGTACTCCCTGCCGCTATACAACTGAAAACACCCGTACCATACTTAGGTGCACCTTCTCTAAACCCGACGATGGCGAATTTTGACACTAGCCACATAGCTAGGTCGAATTCATCCACTGGCTAGAGAAGAATTCTAGCGACCGTCCGTTCTGATAGCTAATTTTGCGTAATTTCTCTGATATATAACAGGCAAATGCCGGGGCGGTGCACTAACAAACGAACAACGGCCCGGACGAGATGGTGTTTACATATTTGCTCCTCCTTTCTCCTTACATACATACACATGGACACTTATTAGGATTACACTGTCACATGGGGCCGGGAGAGCAGTCAAGGTCTTAGATCTTGTCCTGTCTGAGGTGCTGCTCCGCTGGCGGATTTATAAGCAGGGAGAATAGTCGTTGTGTAGGTGGACCCCGGATCTTACATTTCAGCCGGAGAGAAACATCCCCACCTTCCGCGAAATAACATGCACCGCACATACGGGACTAATGATCTTAAAACTTGACGCGCTCGCAAATACAAATTAAACAAACCTGGCCTAAATCCCTGGGTATCTGTGGTACAGATCCGTTTTGCGATTCTCAAAAGCAAACGAATTGTAACAAATGACATGTGAAAAGAAACAATTTTACTTTCCAAATATCCTACCTGTGGCAGGGGAAAACCCAGTGGTAAGTGACAAATCTGTCGTCATGGGACGAATTCACTCTAATCCACTAAACGTTGTCTGAACTATCGAAAGGTAGGCGCGTGTTCTCTCCCGTACTTCGAATGTTGATCAAAACGTAAACGAAGAAACTGTAGAGAAACACCTTATCTTTCTCGACACTAGTTGCGCAGACAAACTCGGAGCACGACACTGGCACGAGACGTACACCAGTAAGCAACCTGCTGCAGAGAAATTGCTCTAAGGGGGACCTGTGTGACAAATCAAGAAACAATAGAAGTTTCTGCTGAACGATGGCATTGCGAGAGGTTGTGTCGAAAGCATTTATGAGTTGTAGCGAACCAACTGCAAACAAACGTGTAAATTGAACACAAATTCTCTAGTTATGAAGTTAGCAGTAGCCAAGCAGAACCTGTCAAAGCTGTCCATTCTTATTGAGGGTCAATTGAATACTAGTAGTTCCGGGCGCGCCAACTGCTCAGGTCATTAGTCCCGTAAGTGTAGTGCGTTTTTTGAAAGGTGGCTGTGATCTTCCCCCGCTGGATAGCGAGATCCGACGACGACTTGCCGTTGACTAACGGGGTTTACCCCACCGCGATATCTTCCATCGACAAGCCACCCTCCCAGCCGGGAGAAGCTCTAAGCTCCCAACCGGTCGCCCGGTCGTGGAAGGAAAGATTGTGCGCTGTCTGTGGCCCGTTTGTCAGTGTTTTCCAGGTATGGTCGAAGAAAAGACAGAAAACTCGCTAGTATTCTCCTCCAGACAGCGACTGTGTTCGAGCTAACTATCTAGCTAGTGTCGAAAACCCTGCGACCGTCGGAACTCGAACCCCAGGATCTCCCAGTCAGGGCTTAGTGGCATCATCCCTTTCTAATTTAATCTTTGTATACCACCCAGTAAAATCAGTTCCTCCAGCAGATGGTCCCTTCTGCGCAGGCTCGGACGCGTTCCAGGCAGTGGCGCAGTGCGAGCGCGCCCTGGAGGCCGCGGCGTCCGTCCTCCAGCGGCCGGCCTCCTCCTCCTCCGCCCACTGGGCGCCGTGGAACTTCCTGAAGGCGGAGCGGGGCGCGCCGCCGCCGCCGCCGCCCTCGCCGCCGCTCCGGCGCGCGAAGCCAGGCCGCTGGGCGCGTGTCGCGCGCCGCTCCCCCGCGCTGCCGCGCCTACGGTGCACGCCTGGAGGAGCGCGTGGAGCCCGCGCGCCGCCTGCTGGAGCGCTTCCTGGCCGCGGAGGGGTCCGAGGCGGGGATGGGGGCGGGGCCTGCCCCCCAGTGGCCCGAGGGCGACGTCCGACAGCTGGGGCTGCAGCGCCGCTGGTGGCCACCGGCCGCGTAGACGCGCGAGGGGGCAAGTCGGGTTTGCAAGTGTGCCATGGGATGAAGCTTCGACGTTCTTTGGATGTTCCTCTCTGATTCCTGCATCGAATTAGTTTTCCTTCAGTAGTCATCAGGGCTAGGTCCAGAACTCATTAATTACTCAACATTTTGTAAAAATGATTATATATACTGAATAATTCCACTGAAAACTATAATCAAAGCGTTTAACAGATGCATATCGCTACCCAGTGACTCTGCTTCTAGAAGAAAGACTGCAGACGAACATGTAGAAGACTGCACTAAAAAGAGAGGATGGAGAGACGCACGGAATCCGCAAGAAGGATGGACTTGCACCTGGAGAAGTATGTGCTGGAGACCGACTGACACAGGGTCTGCTGACCGTCTGCTCCATGACGATATCTCGCGGCTGGGGCTGCAGCGCTGTTGGAAGCTCCCTTCCAAGAGAGTTTCTGCTGCGGATGCTGGATTTAGGTGTTGCTAACGATGATTGAACGAGATTGAACCTCCTACAATATATATATATATACATATATATATATATATAATATATATATATATATATATATATATATATATATACGATTCGTATTTTTAAGTATCTCTGACTATTTCGTTTCTTTTACATAAGTAAGTCTTAGATTTTGACTCCAAACTCGTTCAAACGTTAAGATTGGACAAGCTGTTCACATGCAGTCCTCTTACGTACGCTCTGGATTAGGCATGTGATCCTTTACGTAGGATGGTAGCGCCTGGAGAAGGATACGTTTAAGACGAAGATGGAGAACACGTATTTATCAGAGCTTCAAATGTAATTATGTTCGATACCCAAACTGCAACGCGAGTGGTGAACTATAGTCGTTGCTGATCGCAAACGTTTGAGGTCTCATTCACGTGTTAGCTCTCGGCAGACCGGGAAACACAGGCTGGCAACAGCTACTTGTCGGTCTGGGAGACGCCGCGTCCCAGTGCCAACGATTCGGCCGCCATTTTGTGATCTTCCTAAGCGCGAAACGTTTGCACTTGTTCCAAACACGCGGCGTCTCCCGGACTCTCAAGTAGCATGGATATATAATAGCGGAAGCCTACGCTCTCACGGGCTGGCTAGTCAGTGACGTCCTCGACACGTCGTAACGTTGTCGAAATGTTCAAGTCGTAACGTTGGTTAACACGTACGTCCTCGTATGTTTCAAAGTGATTTACACATCTGTTTCTTTCTGTTTGAATGTGTCACAGCTCTAGATTTAATAATAGTATTATAAGTTTATTAATTAGCCAAGAACGAAAGACCTGTTTTAAGAGTGGATTGTACGTTCTTGTATGCCATTGTCATAATTGTTCCTAACTCTATGAAAAAAACTTATTATTAGAATGGTATTGTATTGCTGTCTGTCTGCAAACAAATCAAAATGAATAATTTTGTTAGCAGTCCTTCAACTCTTCCATTTTGTTTGTTTTATTTGTGTGTGGTATTATAGAGCGATATGGATGTGTATGGATGGATCAGTATTGTAGCATTCATTGTGCTTTTATTTTTCACTAAAAGTGGAATGTTTTTCTTCAAACATCAAAATTAGTGTACAAAAAAGATATCAAGCTCTTTATTTTTGAAAATATTACTTCAAGGTGTGATAGAATACCCCCCCCCACATTACTCCAGTGATGAAAAAGACAAAAATAGTGTCTTCATTTTAATTTTATCTGCTAGTCACTTGGTTTAATGCTCATGCTTGATTCCGTGGTGAAAAAATCAGGAGATCAAATAAATGTTATTGGCAATAACAATTGATGTAATGAAATGCTTGTGTTAATTATAAAAATAAAGGTCTCAATAAAATTCATCTGACATTGTTGTTTCAGATAATTTATTTATGTATGCTTCTGTGTCGGCATTTTTTTAGAATTCCATTATTTTTTTTTTACTTTTTAGTCGTATTGTTAATGTTGGTGTTTTCTAGTATTTTTATGTTATTAATCTCAGTTTCCTATACTTCGAAGTTTTAATTTTTTATTTTTGTAGAAAAACAAACTACCTCAAGACTTTTCTGCAAAATTCTCGATATTTTGTACATATTAATCCAGCGATTTAAATAGTATACTTTGATGAAGAATGATCGCCAGAGCGACAGTGGAAATTGACACAAATTTAAATAAAGGGAAATGAACTCCTTGTTAATGAGAACAAACGTATAAAATGAAATGTCAAAGAGGTTTGCATTTTAGTTATCCATCTTCATTATGACGTTTGAACGTTTCTGAAAGTGCAGAAATTTGAGCTCCTTTTCACTCAAAACTTTTAAGCTTTCGAAGCACTTACAGCACATACATTATCATACAGACATCATTTACAGTACATATTTTTATAAATGCAATAACGTGAACAAATCGTCGCTAATGTAAATATTAACTACGTGAGAGACAAGAAAAAAAATACATTTTTGTATTTTTAGAAAAAAACAAAAGAATAGAGCAGAATGGAGTCCTATTGAATGGCGTCATCTTATAGAGTATATTTACCACTATCACTATCAAACGTTTAAAGAACAAATTTCAAACCGTTTTACAGAAAATCTTGTTTTTGATATTTTTTTATTATTGCACATATTGCACGCAATATTGCGCGAAAACTACTAACATTTTCAAAAATTGTACATAGACTACTTTGATGAATGCAATAATTTGCAAATAGGATAATATGCACAATGGGAAAATGACACCAACGCCAGATGGAAGAATTATGGTGAATAAATTTCAGTTGAAGGAAAAAAATACTTCAATTCTGTAGTTGTAGGAAAACGCATGGTGTCATTTTTTAGAAAATTTTGAAAATGTCCCAGAGGATTCATATAAAGTATCCTCGAAAATTTATTAAAGTTTTTCAAACTCGAAGAGAATTGAGTGAAGCCAGATCGACAGAGGGTTTTTTTTAATCCTACACATAGTTTAGGCACTAGTGTTGTACCCAGACGAACGGACGGACGTTAAAAAAATAAAAAAAATAAAAAAACACTTATTCGGTATCAAGGGACCCCAAAACGTTCATTTTCGTTGAAATTTTGAAATAAATTTTCCGCAGCATTACATAATTTTCTCTGTACTACGTATATTACTCTGTATATACGTACGTATACGAGACAGTAAAAGTAAAAACTTCAGAAACGCGAAGTTTAAAACATTAGGAAAATAGACATCATTTAAATCATAATTTGTTAGTTAGTATTTCTGCCTTCCTCCAAAATTAATATTTAGAAGTAACACTCTGAGATGTTTAATTTACTTACAGCTTTACATTTACAACTATATCATTGCAGTTCTACATGGAATTTTCTGTAGTGTACAAATACACTTTTTATAGTAGCTAGTAACTAGTACTATTATGTAACTCATTAATTACACAAAAACTACTCATATTTTAAAAAAATAATGTTTGTGAGGTTATTTCAAGATATCTTTGGAAAACAGATTTCATTAGGGAAAAATATATATCTTCAATATTTTAGTTGAAAAATGTGACTGTAAATCATTCTGAACTTTTGCAATTTTTGAATATTCAGTGATGTCAACGAAAATGATACCTGCGTCATTTTAAATCGCTCTTTACGCTACGAAAAAGTTCAATCAAAAAATGTCAAGGCATTTAGGAGAAAATTCTGAAAATTAAATATTTCAAGGAAAGCCAATACTTTCCTAACATAAGAAATAGTAAGAAAGCTAAAAACGGCAAACTTCAGGCAACCAACAGGCAAAAAGCAGGCAAACTCTTTACTTTATTTCTAATCATCATAACGTTTAATTTAATTTTCATATATACATCCAGAAATACCTAAGCAATTTAAGGAAAGTAATAGAACATGCAACAATAATGGAAATAATCGGGATATTTTGAGCGCTAATAACAAAACTAAAGCAATGTGGATCAACACAGCGACAGCAACACGACAGCGGCTGAACTCGACCTAGCACTCAGCTATTGTGTTCGTAGGCTTCCGCGGCCGAGTCATTGAACTGACGTTTAAGCCATTGTGTTGTGACCTTCTTCGGAGCTCCACTGCTGGAGCTTCAGAGCTTTAGAGCAATATAGCTCTGAAGAAGGCCACAACACGATGGCCGAAACAGCTCAATCGACTGAGACGCAGCTCACCCCGGACAGCCAAGTATCCCGCAGCTATTGTTCAAAATCCTTCCCCCATCATGACTGGAATCCTAGAACGTTCCGGTCAGAGACCCTGTGCCTCCTAAGCCTGTATTTCTATCTGAAAAAGGTAGTTTTTCTTCGTTCAAGTATATCATTAACGCTTCGACTCATTTTAAACACAGTAATCTGAACATTTTAGAACAGAAATCGTTAAGAACCTGCTAAGCTGTATCGAAGCATTTCTCTTCAAAATTATCTCAGAAACGTTGTTTATCTGATGGAAGAGAAGGCGTTATTATTTTTTTTCGTGAAATGACTCATTTTGTGTATAATTCGATAAGGAATTATGACGGTTTTGAACGAGTTATAATACACAATTAAAACAGAACCTCGTAAATACGCGATAGCTGGATTGAAAAACAGCCCTGTGGAATCATTTAAGACAAAATACGTATGGTACGAAGAATCCAGCAGGCGCACACGCAAATGGATATTCACGTTTCGCAGCAACACAGGTTATCATGGCGCATAACTCGAAAACGATTTGCCTTAGACCTTTAAAACTTTATTTTCACTCCCACATTTCATGTGCCTTAGGATGTAATCGACAAAACGAGACTTCATTGTGACTAGTATTATACTTTTGTAAGTTTATCTCTTCTGGGTGCCGTACTACGATGTGAATTTGTCTAAGCCTTTGATCCAGCCGCCAGCAAGTTACCCTCTACGTCCCGATGGGATGCATATTCCACCGTACACTATGTACGCACGTGCGTTCGATCAACACAGTAACGTCCTAAACGCTTATTTTGATTTACAACCACCGAGACGAAAGTAAGCGCTGCTGTGCGGCGGGGCGTGCGCACCCCACCCCTGCTGAGCCGAGACTCGACTTAAACCTGTAAGTGCGAATCTTAGCTGATGGAAGAGATCTGACCTTCAGCTTTCGCGATTAACATTAACCTTCGATTCACAACCAGGAGTAATTTTGACTCCCGATGTAATTGAAATAATTGTTTCCCATTGTTGCGCAATAATCAAGTAGTGATGAACCTACAGTGCTTCCATCAGTTAACCATGCGTCTTTGGAAAGAATAGTCTAAGTTCGCTATCATCTAGGTTCCCATTCGTTTTATAACGCTGGATTATGTTAGAACCTGAGAGTCATTTTGACTCCGTGTTGGTTAAATCGTCGTATTTTTCAAGGCAGTGCGAAAATGTCTAGATCCTTGGATGAAGATGAAATTTTCAAATTATTGGAAGAATATTACTGTTCTGATGTTAATAATGTTGACGAGGAAGAAATTTTCAATGAATGTCAATTCGAATGCAATTACATATCTTGCAAATCGAATATCTCCACTAATATTCACATCCGATGTGGCAAATTTATTCTCGCGTCTTTGTTTTTTCCCTCGCGCGTGAGCTTATCTTCTTCTTCCTCTTCTTCTATCCTCTTACATTGATGCACACAGACACAATTACACTTAAATGCTCTACACTACCATGTCGGGAGCCTAGAGTTTATCCAAACTGGAGCAGGCTGCGCTGTTGGGAGATATTCGCAAGCCGATTTGAAAGTCTGTGCCACATCTCACCATTCTGCAAGGAGGAACACGGCCATCGTCCATAATAAAAACCTTCACTAATTAATGGAACTACATTAATGGAACGAATGGTCAAATTATTTAACGTACCCATAAATTCTACATACTTCTTTGGGCGGCATCCCCTCCCCCGTAACTATGCCGTTGCGTCAAATTAAACTGACTATTCCCCTCGTGAAATCAAAACTAATAGTGTTTAACTATACATACAAAATGCCCCAATCAGGCCAGTGTATCTCAAAAAGTGTATCGCTTTTTCTATCCTATTTTTCTCACAGCTTCTCCCTATTGGCCAATCTTAAACTGTTACTCATGTATCTTAGGAAGTTGTAAACATTGATCGCTATGTCAATGTAAATAAACCGCGTATGCACTATAACATCACCTCTTTTATCTTAATATAACATTCAGTTATTTTCAGTATTTGGCGCATTTTGGAACTCTGTTGAACATAATTACACTCGTAGAATAGTCTTATTAAATACTACTCGTGCTTTGGAAATTCTTTGATAAATTCCAACGTACTCGTGGTACTGCCTATGAAAATTTTGTTTTGATAGGCAAGCTTTGTATTACCTTCTAATATTCTACATATTCGCAGAGTTGTCTGCAACATGAACAGGAAATTGTTTTCTTTATAGATTGTTTCCGGTGTCAAATAATAAGATTTGATCTAGGTGCTGGCTAGTACTGTAGATTTTTCTTCAAAATTTTCTCACGAATTACTTGATTCACATTCAGTTTTGAGTTTTCTATCATTTTTCTCCATAACAATATCAATTTAGGTAATTAATGTCCTTTTTGGGATGACACATATTTATTTTATCACACAAAGGGAAAAGGGGAAAGCAAATAGAAAAGTTCACTGAATTATTTTTAAAATTGTATGTATATTGTACAGAAACTCCTTTTTAATCTACATAGCCGTATTTCAATGTAAATGTTATTCAATTATTAATTACTCTTCAATTTGTTGAATTAAAAAATCTCAGTTCGTGAGCAAACTGCAATCTCCTTCTGTTGATTTAGAAGGATGTATTGAAGATGTTCTAGTTCGATAGAGAACTCAAGTGTCACTTTGCTGACTTATGAGCCGCGGCACTGTCGTCCATTTATGATGTCATTGCTTTGGATGGCCATGCTGGGTAAGAGATCGGGCGTTCCACTCGAAAGGATTTGCTCGCCAGAACACGCGGCAGCGCCATCTGTTGACGGTACGTTGAACCTTTTCTCGACGTCATGGCTTTCACCTGGCCGTTTTTCATCTCTTCGTTCATTTCCTATTACGGTTGTACTGTCATTTTGCAATACTGTCAGCGAAGTAAAAACATTTTTCAAGTGATACTTTCAGAACAGGACATACCCTTAAAAGTATTTTTACACAAGTAAATAAATAAAAAAATTCCTTTCGCATTTTAATATTTACTTTCTATTCATCCAGTGTCAAAAACAACACAGGTTCTTGCGGTGAAACTAATGACTTGCAGCATATCGGAAAAGTTTGAAGAGCACCACATGTACGACTTAAGAAGAGGGGGTGATGACCAGGATGTAACGTCACCTGTTTTCAACGTGACTGAAGTTGGCAAGTACTCGCAGGTCGTGTGTACTCTGGTGCCGCCAATGACCTCTCAGCCAGCATTGCACGATTTCAGGTGGGCAATACCTTCACGTTCTTAATTCACAAGCCGATCTTCAAAAAGTTCAGTGTAAACCCTAGTTTCGTAAGTAAAGTAAAAGTGATGCTTCGTTTAGAACCGGCTAATAATAAACAGGGTAGTGAAAGTCTGCGAGTCCTGACGTAATCGTACTCCGTTGCTGTACGGAGTTTTAAAATCTGAAAATAAGTGGCATTTCACTTATTGTTTCTTTGTTTCGATAGTCATTTTGAGTACAAAGGTTTCACCTGCAGAGGACTGCAACTTGTAATTCCTTGACCAATGAGAATCTTTGCAATACGCCGGTGGGTGAACTTCCACGTAGGCCGCACCAGCTGAGCTCCAGTACAATATCTTTCTGTTAGGGAGTTTGAAGGTTATGCGCGCATGCGCATACCTGGCAGTCGACTCACTTGTCGGACTGTCGAAGGCAGTCACTGCCTGCAAGCAGTGCATGTTGGTGTGAAGGAAGTTATGTGGGCTGAAATATTCTATAAGGCGAGTATTATATTTAGCATGTATGTTTCTGTTGTCTTTGTGTGTTGAAATGCTTGCCGTCGCATATATTTGCTTGAGTTCCTTATTGAATTCCTAAAAAGTATTTGTTCATTGATCTGATTTAACCTTTCATGTACACTTTGAATAATTATATTTTATGGTACTTTATCAAACATGAAATATATTAATTCGTATTCCGTTTTCTCTGAAGAATTCACTGTAGGTCGGTTGGCAGAAATGCATTCGTTTAGGGAAGCTGCATTACAGGTGCTTGTGACTGTCATTTCCTTTTTCTTTCTTTCTTTTTTTCCATCTCCGACTGTCAGCGATTTCCCTTCACCTTAGTCTACCTCTCTACAGAGAATACAAAATTTGGGTTCAATTGAGGTGTGTGAATTCTATTTACTGAAATCAAGTTTCAGCTGAAAAAGAAGAGCTTGCAAAGAGTTAATGTCTCGTTCTACCCTCGAAGTCACCACGGCGTGTGATGTGGTTGGTGTCACCTGCAGTTATCCGGAAACGAACTTGTTTATTACGTTTGCTTCAAAAACAAAATTGTATTGATTTACCTTTTTTATTACTGTGAATCACACTTTAGTTGACTGTAAATGACGAATAGCGTTTACAAGGAGATGTGGAAAAATGTAAACTATGAAGAGAATTTTAGATACTGAAAAATACATATGCTTTATAGTAATAATCGATGCCCATTACTCATTTCCTTTAGTGAAAGCTATTAACCAAAGTTAATATTCTTTTTTGTATTTTAGCATTATTGTTTACTTTCACTATAATCCATTAAGATATAAATAGGTTTTGTTAAAAACTTCTTTATTTAGAATTTATGAGAAACTTGTAAATTAAAAGCAGTTTATAATGAAACAATAGCATTACTAAAATTTCATTACAATACTTGTAATATTCAGATTTATTCTGAGTTCTATATGCATTTTATTTTCTCGTGTATAAACTTGAGTCCTTTGGGTGTAAGTAATGGTATGTCATATCAAGAGTCGTAAGTAAATTCAATATGACACGACTTGTTTGAACGAAATGTAATCAATTTTAATTAATATTTGTGGTCTCTTCTGGAATGCACTACGATTCTAGAGAGTCTCCTTCATAAAGAACTAATAATCTCAATTTCACACAAAAGTCATGTACTAATATTCACATCTAAATGCCTGAATGTATTCATTGCCCCTGTGGATTTCAATGTAATATTTGAAATACCCATGTAACAATTGTGCTCTCGTAATGCAATGGAAAAATGGGTATTTAATTTAAAATTACATTTAAAAAAATTAAGTTAATGTAGCTGTAATTAATTTTACACAAATTAACACTCCAAGTATCAAGTCTAGTCGGGCGTTTTCACTTGCTGTCTGAAACGGGAAATGTGTAAATGTCACATGTATTATACATTTGTAACACTGGAAATATAACTGAAGAGTGCATCCTTAGTTTATTTGTTTTATTAAATTAAGAAGTGTAGAGAATTAAATATTAGATTTTTTTTCTTTATAAATTTACATTAAGAAATTTAATTTATATTTGCAGATTCACAATCGTGACAACGCCATGGATCTCTAACAGCTTACCAGCTCAAAAGCGCACAATTTACAACCTAAAGAAGTGTGCGTCTCAGAGAAAAGCTTATTCTTCCCACACTGATGGAAACATGCAAATGAAAATCAGATTTTAGTTATCAGAATCAATGACAAGGCATAAAAAAACACAAAATCATAACAATGGTAATTGTAATAATGTAGCACAGAATTTGCAACATGGATTGGGTGAAGAGGCTTCAATATACGACCCTTGCTTTTTGGGACATGATGTTGGTGATCCAAACAGATCACATGTCTCAAACTGCCAAGGAATGGAAGAACATTCCATTCCTCTCCGAATGGAAAGATTACAATCAATGTCCCTTCCCCCACGTGATATAATGCCATATCACATAAGATACCCAATTTCAAATTCTGAAGCAATAGATCCAAGATCAAGACCTTTTCCAGTAATGGATGCTGAATCAATAATGCATTCCTCCCAGCAGTTACTGGCTCATGAAATAATTGCATCAAACCTATTTAATCGCTGCCATTCACCATCTGCTCACATCTCTCGGCGAGATTATGTACCATCAAATTTGGAATATAGTGGTACAAGTGATAGTGGGGGAGAGATTGTTGCCACTCCTCCTACGACAAGTCGTCGTTTTGGCATAGTACCTGGAGAAGCACCTGTCCGAAGATCACCACCATCAGTAAGAGCAAGTTCAGGTGAAGACTTCGATGTAGATCCATACATGGAGACAGTATTTCGTAAAGTTACTGTGAAGAAGCGCCGACAGGAAACTCGCCAAATTTTTGATAGAGGTGAGTACTGTAAATACATGATTCAATCATTTTACATTTAGAATTGGGCTTCAAACATTAAGATCTGATTTTTTGTTCGTGTGGTGGAAGTGCTGTGTTTGTTATATGTATAATATCTTATTTGTGATGGATACACAGGGGTGGATTGAGAGTGATGGTGAGGACTCCTAATCAGCCACTAAATTCTAATTGGAGGAAGAATTTAATCTCAAAAATAGAAAACAAATTGCAAAACTGTCAGCAAAAAATACTTAGAAATTCCAAATTTTACTATAAAATAATGTTCACCATAAAATGCAAGAACTTATAAATAGCTAAAAATTAAAAGTATCAATTGTCCAGTCTTGCATACAATTCACAGTTCCATTGTAATGGTAACAAGTAGTATTTAAATGGTGTTGAACTTCTTTACATATTTATCAGTCTCAATGAAATAAGGGATTAAGTTGCTCAATGTTGATGAATTGGATTGAAATTGCAATCCCTGCTTATTTTTGGCTTTTGTGATGCAATCTCTGTTTTTTAACGAAAATTTTAAATTTATTTATTTTATATTTGGCGTATTTGTAGTGTACTCAACGTCCCAAATGGTTTTGATTTTTCGAAAGTCATTCCACCCCTTGTTCTTTTTCCCTCCACTTAACTTGCATTTTAAAATTCACATCCACTCGTTCAGTCAGTTTCTGCTGTCTTTAAATATCAAATTCTATTTTTATTAGTTGATGTGTAATAAATGCGTAGGACATATGTCAGTCTCTCACTCAAGTTAAAAATCTAGATCCACCTCTGAATATAAATGTATATACTATGCACGATGCCATACACAACAAATATGTACTCCATTCCAGCTTCAATTTTTTTAAATACATGTGATTCATAGTAGAAAATTAATAGTATTGAAGTGATGCTCTTACCTTGGAGCAAATAATTTTAGAAGTGGATTTCCTTATTGAAATGTAGAAAAGATTGTTTTAAATTGGTTATTTTATTTAAGAAGATGCTAGATTTATATCCTTATATTATTTTTTCATTTGTGAATATTTATTTTGATAGAGTCCGTACCTAGATTATTTTTTTCGTATTAATTAATACATACTAAGAGGTCACTTTTAGTCTTGTTGAATAGGGCATAATGTTTCCTCTACTATTTATGTTAATGTCGTTACAGCAAGATGTAGATCCTTGGTTCTGAACTACGAAAATCTGCAATATTATAATTTGTTTTTTATGTAGGTCTAATCTGTACAACTTGTCAGTGTGTGCCTTCCTTTTATGTATATAGAATAATTGTGCAAATGTTGAAAGTAATTCAGAGTAGAGTAGTATAAAAAAATTTTCCCTCGCGTAACAGTTAATTTGTAAATATAAAATTAAGATTGTACTGGTAATTCTTAGAACTTATCAGTACAAGAATTTTGTCATAAAAGTGGTATCTTTTAGACCAGCGAGTCATTTACTTTAATAGCAGCATATAGGTCAGAGACCAATTTGCTTTGAAAACTATAATTCCGGTAGACATTTTTGCTTCTTCACTTCATGTGACTATAAGGTAGTCTTGTCTTTTTATTGAGAGATAATTACATAGATTCATTGAGTTTTAAATATTTTATTCTCACATATTTTTCTCGTGCATTTTGCGGATGCTATATTCTATAGTCTTATTGCTTAAAATCAATAGTCGGTAAATACATGCATTATCACAGTACTTGGTTAAGTTACTTTCTAATATAATCGTTCATTCCACATGATGTACTTGAAATGAATTGTGCACCCTTTGTATTGAATGTTGCACCATTGTATGTTTTTGGGAAGGTCTTTTGTTTTCTGAATCTTTTTCTTTTTATCAGTAACTACTTATTATTTGAACGGGCATTTGATTATTAGTTGTGCATTTGTTTTCTGTCACTAAATCAAACTACTTACTAGCATATTTTGGACATGGATTTCTGCATGTGGAAAAGCATGAAACACAAAAGTAAATCATATGTATGTTCCGTATTTGTTATGAATTTGTTTTGTTACACATGTTTAGATTTACTACTTATGTATTGTTCCATTTAAGAAGTCTCCTACCAAAAAGCATGTCTTTTTTAATCAATTGTATGTTATCTTCTGTGAGAAGAGAACGCCTTGCATTTTCTCTTTTTATTTTATGACTTCAGCATGAGAAAGAGTTAAACAAGAAAAGCATGAATTTACAAGTTTCAAATATCTAGCAATTTTTCTGTTTTTGTGATGGTTTTGATAACATGACAGACAGTATTTTGTTAACTTCCCAAAGTATTCCCAACATTCCTTGATTCTTATTTGGCAATTGTATATATTAATTTCCAAAGTATAAGGCTTACTTGTGAATAGTGTAATGATGTATAGGGGTAATAATTGTTCAGAACATTGTTTTCATTTATGTACCTCTAACCTTTGATATTAGGTTTGCTAATAAACTTTAGTATTGCAATTTCGTATCTGCAACTAAAAGAGACCTGAACACCCGAAATGCAAGAAGTTTGCTTTGAGATCTGGAGTGTCATCAGTTAGTCACCTGGAGAAAATAAACTACTTGCATGCTACCAACATCGTGCCAAATTTGGTATATTTTCCTTGGGAGAAAGATTAAGAATGTCAAGAAATTTATTTAATGTGTATGATAAAAAAACTTGGAAGTTATGTTAAAATTGTATGCAGAACAACCAGTTTTTAAATTCAGAGGTAAATATGTAAAAATTGCTTCACTTTTGCAGTAAAGAGACATTTTAACACACTTTTCAGCACTGTATTTAAAATAATTTTATTTCATAAAATCATCACTCTTTTGTTTTGTATCTGTAGTAATATTTAAATGTTGAAAAACATCAGGCCTATCAAGGTGTTATTCATGCATAATGCGGTGTTATTGGGAAACGTTACTAATTGAACAAGTTCATTTATGTTAGGATGAATTATCATATTTCTGATTCAGTTTTAAGTTGGCGAGTCTTAATATTTATTTTCAAATTATGAATTTACACTTTGATTTCGAAGGTAACTAGTTTACTTCTTTTAACATGTGAGAATTAACTGCTTATTTTAGGTGGTGTAATGAAAGTAGTATTCATGTACTTTCAGTTGTTTTCCTTGTTATTTTCTATTTTTCTGGGATCCCAAAATTAAGTTTCATTTATTAATTAATTTTTTTAAAAATTTGATTTCAATTTTGCCCCACTAGAACAGGCTTTCTTGTTTAAAAGCATTCACATTTAATATAATGTCACCTACTGGTACTGATATCCATGAAATTTGTGTATTTTTAACTGCGGTGTATCCAAAGGAAATTTGAAGAGGCATATAATCTTTGTTATTATCATTAAAGTAATGTACTCTTAGCAAAAGAGAAATATAAATATTGGCCATTTCATTTTTTATTATTATTTTCATTATTTATTATTATTATTATTATTATTATTATTATTATTATTATTATTATTATTATTATTATTATTATAACTTATTCTTTTATATTTTTACGTAATTTCCTCAAATGGTATAATATTTCCAAATATAGTTTTTATTGATTTCAATTGAAGATTGTTTTGTTTGGAAAACAAAATGCACTGTCATACTGTCATGGTTTTTCAAAAATTATATCACAATGAAATGCAGAAAGTTATTATAATATGAAATTTGTGTTATGAATGATTGTTCTTATTGTTTGATGAGCGAGTTTGAATCTGAACTAGTTAATTCTTCCTTGTGTTTCTCTAATTTTTTCTTGTTTTTGTTTTTCTTTACTCATACTTCTTGTGTATTTATAATCTTCATCTCTTTTGTTTACATTTCATTCATCCACTTTGAATTGAATTTCATGATTTGTTTTGTATAGGAAGTCACTAAAAAAGCAAATAGGTTTTTATAACATATTTTGTCTTTGTAGCAAAAGTAATTTGATTGATTTAGCTTTAAAAGTTTTTAATGTAAAAGTTAAAATTATGTCAACATTTACATTGATAATGTAATTTTAAAAGGATGGATCGAATAATAAATTTCTGTCACTTTCACATGTACGTTCTTTCTTCACCTTGCTTAAAGAATACTATAATCATACTTAATATAGTTAATGAAGATATTAAATAAATCTTGATTTTGTCAAGAAAACAGAATATATTATTTTTTATAAGATTTAATGAAGGAAGAAAGTATAAAGGAAAAATTGTGTACCTTCTATGCAAAGGAGGTACTTTAATTATTTCATTATTTTTTAATATGTTAACAAATTAGTATATAATTAAAATTATTCACTTCATTATTACAGAGTTCTAAATTGCATGAATTGTGTGTAGTGTGTTTTGGTGTGTTGGACTAACGGTGGTACTAGAATAACAGTTGCTGTATGAATGTGAGGAATGCATTTCTCCCCCCCCCCCTCTCATTCTTACAATTTAATAATTTCTGAGATATATATATGTATACATTTGTTCTTATATACTAATGATAATTTATTGTTAAGGCTTTTTGCTGTAGTAATTTAAATGAATTAAAATAATGAGAGCAAGTTGCTTCTTATCATTTCACAAAACTAACATTTGAATGACAAATTGGGGATGATCAAAGAGTAAGAAGAGAATATGGAATTTTCTTTATAAAATTCTCAAAAAGTCTGTGAAAAGTTTGAGAATCAGTTGCTGTTACAAATTTGTCATAAGTTTGTTTCAGCAAACATATCATAATGCAACAACAAACATAATGCATGCTTGTTGTTGGTTTTTTGACAAATATCACCAAAAAAGTAACTAACAGGTTAACTGGTATCTTATCACTCTCTGATATATCCTCCTCTCTTAAAACAAAAGAAAAGGAAACAAAAAAATTGCGGATTAATTTTATAATGTCATTGAGTGAAAGTTACAGTTTTGTAATATTATACTGATCTTTAAAAAACACATTAGTCAGTATTTTATATGTTTTAAATCAAGAACTTTTCTACTAAGTTTCTGTCTTACTGTTTGATCTCTGATTTACTATAT